CACGGTAACGACCAACATTCCGCTGTCCACGACTCGGCGCTCGCTGATGTCGGGTTTAGCTTCATTGGAGTCAGCATGTGGGAGTCTTCGAAGTACGGAGTCCCTTGCGTAGCGCGGAACACTTCACGTCTCTTCGTATCCGGGGTCTTCGGCAAAGGGATCTTGCTTGGGTCTTCGCCGAGTGGTTTGAACTCGGCTACTCGGCTGTACACCTTCTTCGTTCCACCAGGGGCCTTCTCCAATCCAAACGCCACTCTCAGCTTCTTCTTCTATTGCCAGATCTCAGCTCCGCCACGGGTCAGACTCCAGTCGGACAGGATGAGGCTGTTTGGTCGGCTGTTGCACCGATATCCCATCGCCTTCAGCAGCAACACAGTTTCTTCCACCAACTGATTGATGTTGGCTGCACGCACCGGTTGAGTTAACGCAGGACCCAACATCGGCCACTTCGCCTGTGCCATCGCCACCGGCGCGAGCATCATCATCCATTCCGATCTCGTTCTCATCTCCTCGCCGAGTCGAGCCAACACTTTATTGGCGCTCGGCGTATCGGCGTTCCTCGTCGCTTTCGGAATAAGGGGCGGACGGTCCCCTTGAGCAACGCCATGTTCTTCTTCATCTTCTCTATCGTCCGCACCTTCGTCGAGTTTGGCAGATAAGTTGCGCTCGACAGGACGTGGGGCTCCCATGCGTCCCACCTGCAGCGTCAACTCCTCCACCTCGCCAAGTAGCTCGGCGGTAGTCTTCGTTTCTCCGAGCTCAGCGGTCTCGGCCTTCTCTTCATACTCTCATTCACTTGCATCTCCGTTCTCGCTCTCCTGGTCTTGGCCATCCTCGTCGAACTGGACGGTTCGTCCCACCTCCATCGTCATGGCGATGAGTCGTTGATCCGCCGGGTCCGACCCCGCGAGAGGCGATCCTCCAGCCGTCGCTGGGCTTCCGTCGCTCGGAGTTGCTGATCCCTTGACCATCTTCACTCTTCTCTTTCTCTTCTCTTCCTCTTAACTTGGTTAGCTGGCACCTATAAAAACAAGCACACACTCCTGTTCCCGGGTCGCGGCACCAGTTGTGGTGTAGTAGAACACACAAATACCGTCAGATGTGGATTCCTTACACAAACCACAACGAATCGCCGAGTTAGGTCGGCGGTTGTATGGCCTGCGCAGAGGGTGGTCCCCTCGCGGTCCGGCTCTTCCGGGACAGACGAGTGGCTCGCTTCCACTCGGTTCCGACTAACCAAGTCAGATCACTTCCGAGGCTCCGCCGAGTTTGGTTCGGCTGAGCTCGTTCACAACCCTGTGCCCTCCACCAAAGGATGGACGACGGCGCGCGAGCGCTTTTACAGGTCACTGAGCGCAGAGGCTGCTCAGCTAGAAGTGTTACGGCACCCGGGCTATCCGACGTACCGGCCCGCTGAGTATGCGGGGCTTTCTTTCGCGCGTAGCGAGACTTTGTCCTACCCGGACCGACCTAATCTCTTGGCGCTACCAGTCAATACCCTACAAGCTATGCCTCTCGAGTATTGACGGCAGGCATAATCCAGCCCTATGCAGGGACTTACCGGAAAAGTGTACACGTGTCTTGGACTAGGAAAATTCTGCTCTGTTATCTTCTGGGGAGCCCTTTCGGCTCACCCTATTTAATCCTATGCTTCTTATACAAATATCTAATGAAATGTAGTCGTTTCGGATCTCTACCGACCCTTCAGCTGAGTTCAGGCGACCGTTGAGCTCAGCGGCTATCCGGATAGCATATCCGGACAGATCGCCGAGTACTTACCGTGATCCTTTGTTCATAAGCTCTGGGTTATCAGACCGAGCCGATTCTTGACCTAAAGTAGGTTGGCGTATGGTCGAATCTGGAAATCCCTACACCACAAGCACCTAGCAATTTGCGCACACTGCCTCACAGCTGAGGCATGTTCTCGCTGTATGTATCGTACCGTGTTGCAAAGTGGCTCGTGAGTGCTTATGGGGAAGCCCGGTACCGCTTACCCGTAAATCGGACGTCCAAATTATTGGTGCTGCAATACACGATTTGACCCATCTTAATTACGGCCCAAAGTCCGAATTAAAAGTCCGATTTGACATGCAAAATCGAAGAAAGGCATTATACCAGTTTTAATAAGCCGACCTTCCTCGAGCTAAATAAGGCAGCAGTCTGACGGGGGTTGATAAATATGCAATTGGATGACCAAAAGCATATAAATAGCTAGATGTAGTCGGCCGAAATACTACTAACAGCTCTCACCAGCGGACCACTTTGGAATTAATGGAGGCAGGTCATTCACGAACAGAACATTCAACTGAATCATCTTGGGCTATTTTCTACTTTTTAGCACTAATTATGAGTAATACTACCCGTAAACGTCGAACATGGGCGTTCAATACAGCAGCATCGCTCAATAGAAAACAAAAACATCTTTCGAATTAAGGCCGTGTTCGGCTTGCAGGGGCAAATTCAGCTTGTTCGAAAATAAGCTAGAGCTGTGGAACAGTCGTTTTGTTAAGTAAAATAAAGATAAAATAAGTGATCGTGTTCCATCAGAAAAATACTGGATTTGAAGGCGCAAAGTTCAAAATTCAACCCAAAACTAAATTTTGAAACCAGTCGTTTGGAGCTATCCTGCTGGATGTCATTTTTTGTGTTTCTTAGCGGAATAAAGCTGGTTGAGACATTCCAGCTCTTTAATACCAATTACAGCTGGTTTTAGCTTAAATCGAACACGGCCTAAAAATTAAGCGTACATTTCGATTACAGATTATTCTGTAGTCCACACTCAAACAGCTGTAAAATAGGACAAATCCTTGGCTTGTTTGTGAGAAGAATTTATTATATTGGTAAGCTATTACCGGTAATATAAAGGATCCTGCCACATCACCCTGTCCTAAGCAGCCAGGCTGTATGGTAAACCGGAAATTACGTTTGCGAGCTCTGGAAATATAACTGTTGTTACTTTGCTGAATCGAACCTTGATGGCCAAAATGCTTACGCACGTGGGCAAGACTTATCACCAACCCGGAGCCACCAGTACGAGTAATACCATCGTAGCACTCCATCTTTGCATTGGCCATGAAGCAGAACCCAGACTTACCACGCCGACAAAGGCAGTTTCTGCTCACTCTTGTGGGGCTTTGCTTGTTGATACTCCTGCTGGATAGCTCCCTGCTCGATGGCGGCATCAAAGATTCGTTTGCAGCTAACTTGGACGATAAAACTGCCAATAACTCACTCAATAACGTACCGGTACCTGCGTGGGTACAATCAAACAGCGATACTGAAGTCCCTGTAGCTGACCGACTGCATCTGAGTCTGTTGCACGAAGCCTGTATCGCCAACAAAGACGCAGTGATATTGTGGCAGTTTGGGTCACCTCGAGACGGTCACCAACGGCAAAATGCAACGGCAGACAATGACTACGAGCTCATCAACCGCAACGACTCGAACCTACTCGAAAAGCTAAAACAGTGTCCCGACGTGGACATTTTCTTACCACTTGGACTGCGTGGAAACGGATACTGCGAGGATGCAGTAGCATACGCCAAGTGTACGTACCTTTACTGCGGGTCGGATGCCCTTGACATCATCCTAACAATATTACTCTGCATAGACCTCGACTCACGATTGCTCCCGATGTGGGCTCTGGAAATTAAGCTTTATGACGATTCACTTGGACGAGAAGTGGACTACTTCGATTTGTGTTCCAAGACGCCAATGGTTTTCTTCAATCATTACTGGAACGGCGTTCCGGAATCTCCACGCTGGCCAAAGGATAAACCGCTCTTCTTGATGCCGAACATTGAGATGTTTGAGCTCACAGCTGCGCACTTTTGGAGAGTCGACGTTGTACTGTGCAAGACCCACGTATGCTACGACAGAGTGACGCGCTGGTACAGCGAAAACGGCAGTCCACGCAACGTCAAAGTATTTTACACGAAGCACACGTCATCCGACCAGGCAGAATTTGCACGACAGCGTCAAGGCAGCAATTCTATTGCTCCAAAAGACTGCTCCAGTGTGAAATTTATCCACACGGCTGGCTCCAGTGTCTGGAAAGGTACGCGACAGCTTGTCGACTGCTGGATTCTGTCACCGGGGATGCTTCCATTGGACGTCTATATCGACGACAGCGCGTCCCCACACTCGTTAAACCGTGCTCGCAGTCCTGTCCAATTCAAGCACGGTATGTTGGAGCCTCAAGACTTTAACAAGTTGATAGCCGAATCGGCCTTCTTTATGTGTCCAAGTCGAATTGAGGGCTACGGTCACTACCTTAACCAAGCGCGGGCATCGGGGGGAGTGGTGGTAACCACAAACTTTCCCGCAATGAACGAACTGATCCTATCGAGTGAAATGGGGTTTTGATACCAACGGAATCTGAGCGTCACCCGAAGATGCTTCTTGGCGGTAACTACGAAGGTGAACGAGGACTGAACGACACTGAGGAATTGTTGGCTACGTTTAACTCAAGTGGGTTATGCAATGCTGTCCAACACTTCATATCATCGACAACCACCGAGCAACGCGCAGCCATGGGCGCCAACAGTATCACGAAGACACGAAATTCTTTGCACAATCGATGCATAAATTACGCCAGTTCACCCGAAACTAATCGTAAAATACGAAAAATTCCCTACAACTTAGCTGGTCTATCATGGCTACCCTGTAGTCGGTTCGTCGCGGAAATACTTGCGAGGTGCACTGGAAATGATCTCCTCGCTGTCTTCCGCGTGGTTTTCACTGGCCTGTTGTCTCGCCAGGACGCGCAAATCAAGCATCGCTCGCTCAAAGAACTTGGTGTCTTTGTGGTACTGTAACCGAGCATTTTTCCCCATTTCTCTCCGCTTTTCAACGCTCACGTCGTTGAGTAGATGTTCTACCGTTTTACACAAGTCATTGGTGCTGAATTGGGCCACCATACCGGGCACATCTCTCAGTCCCAAGCCCTTTTTACTCCTTCCGCCCAAGAATATATTACGGTCGTGCCGAGGTCTGGACGGTACTCGCAGTCCCATGTCGTCGTTCTGGATCAACTCCTTCATGGGATCTAGGTCGGTAGTGATAATGACCCCACCAGAGGCCCGTGCCTGGTTCATGTAGTGTCCGTAGCCTTCCATTTGACTAGGACACAAGAAATAGGCGCTTTCCGCAATCGCCTTACTGAATGTAGTGGCGTCTACCTCATCTGTCGTGAGTCGAATTTGACTCTTAGGAATATGGTTATTGTATGTACCCTTGAACATTCCTTCGTATGCCCAATTGTGGATATACAGGTCCAGAGGCGGGAAGTTTGGGCGCGATAGCCAGCACTCGATTACTTGTCGCGTACCTTTCCAGTAGCTGCCACCGACTGTGTGAATAAACTTGACATCACTGAAGTTTTTCGGCGCGACTTGGTCGCCCAGCACACGTCGCGCGTAGCTGGCTTGGTCGGACGAGGTGTGTTTGGTGTATAGCACCTTAGTATCGTGCGGATTGCCTTGTTGTTCGTACCATTTCTTCACACGTTCCTCACAGATACGCGTCTTGCATAACACCGCGTCAGCGCGCCACAAATGGGTCTCGTCGAGTTCCCACATCTCGATATTAAGCATCAAGTACATCTTTTTCCCTCGAGGCCATTGCGGAGACGACGGAATTTCTTCCCAGTAGTGCTGGAAGAAGAGCATTGGTGTCTTTGGACACAGATCGAAGTAGTCGACGTCACGTCCTGACTCGGGATCGTGCATCTTCTTTGTCAGCGCCCATAGTGGCAGTGTTCTAGTGTGCAAGTACTTGGTGTACGCCATCGTGTCCTCACAATATCCGTTGTTCCTCACTCCTGACGGTAGGAACAAGTCCACGTCGGGACATTGTTTCAATTTCTGTAACAAATCCGGGTCGTCTTCCTTGATTAACGTGGCTACATTGTGCTCTTCGTCGTCTTGCGAAGGCCCTGGAGCGCCGAATTCCCATGAAACAATCGCGTCTTTGTGTGTGATGCACGCGCCGTGTAGCAGACTCAAGTGGTACAAGTCTGCGGGCGCCACTTCGTCGCTGGCATTGGTTCTGGACGTGTTCTGGAGCGCCAGCAGCTCTTCCAGTGACACGGTGGCGTCTTGTTGCGGCTCTCCAGCTCCACTTGAGCCATTGTAAAGCTCTGTGTTGTACTGACGCTGATGCAGCAGCTGCTGCACCCCCAGCGATGCGTTGGACGGCGCCACATGCCGGAGTTTTGGCTGAAAGTCGAGCGTTGCGGCTTCCAGGATCAGCGCGAGTAGACCTGTGGCGAGTAGAAGCGCCAGGATGCCACGGATCCACGGGTTGGGCGCGGATCGCGTGCTGGTCGACGAGCTATTGCTGTTCATCGTCCTGCCTGGAGACGTGGGGCGCGAGAGTGACGCTGGACACGAGGGATAGTCGACCGGATTGTGGACTCTGCGACTATCATCGTTAAAATCTCGCTGTACGGCTTCAGCCGGTAGAATTAGATGCATGGGACTGGGTTTGCCACTGTCCCATGCAGCTTGTCCTGATAGAAATGCGGCTATTGCTGCTAAACGTGAGCTAAAATGGCGCAGAGACGATGAATTAGGCAGAGGTGGCTACAAAACCAGTGGGACCAAGCTTGAGGATGAAGCGGTTAGGTGGTGCATGAGACGGGCCAGATTTGGAATTGCGTGTTTGTAAGCGGCTAGAATTGAAAATTTAGGATTCCTGTGAGCCACCTTACAGTATTTGTGCAATGGAACCACTTTGATGTGAGATTTTGTGTGCGTGGGGCTGTGAAAAGACAACCTGTGATCGCACTCCATTTCCCAAGTGGCGAACGTCAGTTTTTTCTTGATAACTGCCGAGCGCTTCCGTTTTTGGCCAACGAATGCAAGACGTTGCAGGTTGTAAATAATGTGTTAGACGAGCTCGTGTTAGTCCTCATTCTTCCTCCACAATGAGGTCCGTAAACCTCTTGGAAGCGGATTTCCTATCTCGCGTGCATCGCCCAATCCACAAAATGTGTGGATTCCACACTCCGTTCAAAAGTCTCAACCATGTGACAGAGCAGTATCTGATTCCATCTTCCATTCGTCCAAAATCTTCTGATTCCGCCACAATAGCTCAACTGTCGTGATGATCGCTCCGCTGCCGCGTGCTCGCGCTGGTAGCGTGAGCTCCACGCACCACAACTCTCTACGGGTGTTATTAGGCGTGCTAGTAGCTATTGCATTGGGTGCGCTGGCGTTGGAGCTCTCGTTCGTTACCCCAGACACTATAACTACCGAACCAGAAAAGAATCAGGACATTCTCCATGTTCTGGACGCCGCTGCAGCCGCTGAAGACTCGGACAAACCACCCACAGGTGCCGACGCTTTCTATCCAGACGAAGTATTCGACATTGACTGGAGTCAGCGTATCAAGGAGAGCGACATCCTACATGAAGCGGCGCTGCATCGTGGCTGTGTCAAGCACAAGATGAGCGTAATCTCGTGGAAATTCGGCGAGGCGGGAGAGAACGAGACTCAGAATCTGATGCACGTGATGAATGAGAGCGATCCGCAGCTGCTTGGCAAGCTGCGTCAATGTCCAGACGTGGATATATTCCTTCCTGAAGGTCTGCGTTCGTTCGGATACTGCGAAGACGCCGCTGCATACACGAAATGTACGTCCGATGACAAGGAATATTCTACTTTAGAATATTAGTAACTTTTTTTTTCGTAAGTTTTGAAAGCAAGAATGCTGCCGCGGTGGGCATTAGAGCACCAGTTTCAAGACGAAGCGAGGAGCCGGAACACCTCATACCATGAGTTGTGTCCCAATACCCCGATGATTTTTTTTAATCACTATTGGGAGGAATTACCCGATGCTCCGGACTGGCCAGCAGCTAAACCGCTGTATTTGATGCCCAACATGGAAATGTACGAGCTCGAGAGTGAACACTACTGGAGAGCAGACGTAATTCTGTGCAAAACGGCGCTCTGTGCTCGATATCTGAGGAAATGGTTCAAGCAAGAGGGAAATCCGCGAGGAACCAGAGTACTGTACACCCGCCACACGACCTCTAATTTAGCATTAACGTACAAAAGTCAATTAACCGCAAGCGAGAGGCAAGCGAGACCCGAGAAAAACTTCTCGGACGTGACGTTCCTACACACAGCAGGCACCAGTATCCAGAAGGGGACACGCCAAGTACTGGACTGTTGGCTGACTCGACCAGACTTTCCTCGACTGGAGCTACACATGGCGCAAGATCTTTTCGACGGCGCGTTTAAGACGAGATATGCCAGGAGGATAGACAAGAGTAGGAACGTCGCTCTACACACTGGACGACTGGAACCGGCAGAGTTCGGACGGCTTATCACCGACGCGGCGTACTTTATGTGTCCGAGTCTACAGGAAGGTTACGGTCACTACATTAACCAAGCACGATCCTCTCGTGCCCTGATATTTACGACGGATATACCGCCGATGAACGAGTTGATCACGCCGTCGTCTGGCGCGTTAATTCGAGCGAGAGCCATCGCACACGAACCGCAATTTTTAGGTGGGAAATCCAAGAAGGAGCACGCGCTGAGAGGCGTCCCGGGCTTCGTCGCCGACTTCGGTGGACGCTCGGTATGCAACGCTGTGACCAAGTTACTGCAGACCACGACACCCGAAGAACGCGCCGAACGCGCAGACAGGGCCTTGCAGCAATACTACTTCGACACGGTCTTCTTCGCTCAAAAGATGCAGGAACTGCATGACTTTGCACGTGCTCACAGCCATCTCGGCCGTCTACATGGCGTGTTAAGACGACGTGAAGACACGCCCTTACCGTCCGAGCAATGAAGAACTAGATAGCTGAATGGTGTGGCGTGGCCGGTTTTGAACATGTCGGTAATAAAGAGACGTTGTAGCAAGTTTAGAACTTTTGGAGAATAATTGGGGTGCTTGCTTGAAAATGTATCAAATGATAAAAAAGACTGGTATCCACGCTCTGAAAGGCAAGTATCAGACTTGGCTCGTATTCGGGCCTAAAACACGAATTGTCATTTTGCGTATGCCCTGCATATCTTTCGGCTACGAAGTAATAAATACGTATTTAGCTTTCCGAAGCTATTTGGTTTTTATTTTAGTTTTGCGAAACTATCTTTTTCTTTTGGGAACGATCCGTTGTTGTCCGTGTCTGTCGCTCGACAGACCCGACCGAGGCTCTTGTATCATGGATATTATGATGCGTCTTAAAGGCGCTGGCTTCTCGGCAATCGCCAACGCATTTCGCGAGCGTGAGAAGAGACTTGGAGGCGGGTTGCCACTTCTCGACTTTGTGGAGATCGTGCTACCAGGTTTACCACGCGTAAAGACAGCAGAGGAGAAAACTGCCACTGTAAGTGCTCTCGTCGATCTCTTCGAAGATATCGACATCAACGGAGATGGGGTCATGGAATTTGATGAGTTCACAAGCTTTTGTGTCGATGCCGGTATGGTCGCTTCTCGAGCACAAGGTGCCACTCTCAAGCATCGTTACGAACGAGATACCAAACATGCTCTTAAAACGAGTGCCATTACTGCACCAGTGTCGAACGCTGCCTCTCATACCTCTACAAACGCTACCTCCTCTCCGAATCCAGTTAGTAATTGGATTGAAAAGCTGAAATGGTCTGCCAGTTTTCGTATGTTTCTCGTAGTGGAGAATGCAGCTCGATCCGTGAAGATTTTCACGAGTGAGGGCAAATTTGTGACTGAAGTGTATGTGACAAATGAAAGGCAAACCCAGACAAATGCAAATGTTACTGTAACATCAACACCCGTAGTAACTAGCCCCATGAACGACGTCCTTCTTGTCGGTGATGGCGTCGCTTTCGTGACGCCTACAAGTGTCGCCCCTCCGTCAGCTTCCAGTGTTTCGATCTTAGATGCAGTTTTTATTCATCGCTTTATGTGGCTTGGTGTGAGTACGACAGATTTCGCTATTTCATTTTACGATATGAACGATGCACGGAAGCCAACGTCAACATCGAATACTTCACCTGGCACGATTTATGAATTATTGAAAAATGCAGGTATTACAACTAATACAGCGCAGAGGATGCTACGCTTCTGCGAGTCTTCCGCGCTGCTGTTGGGCTCAGGAAACGATTTTATTGTGAATATCTGGAAAGTTGTGGACGCCGAGACGAAATTTCTCTGGCGACGTCTCTCGGTCCACGCTGACTTGGTCATGGACGCGCTGGAGATCCCTGTACACGACTTGTTGGTAACGTGTGATCTTCGCCACACTATTCAGCTCTGGGACATCACAGATGGCCGCAACCGCGGCGCTCTAATGGCCCACGGACGCGGCGTTCGGCAACTTTGTTACTCGGAACATCACGATCTTTTGCTTAGCGCCGGTTTTGAATTCGAGGCACTGGCTTGGGATTTAGGCTCTAGACAAGTTGCTCTTAAACTGTCGGGACATCGAGCGCCACTAGTTGGCGTGCAACTCGCTCTTTTCCAGACTGAACGCGCTATAACTGCAGATAGCGACGGTGTGTTTAAGGTCTGGGACATCACCAGAGGCCACGCGAGCTCGACAAATGCCAGTATTTCGCAAGCTGTACAGCTCGAATCCATCGACTTGGGAGTACCTTCAGTACACGTCGAGCCCATTTCGTTCGCTACGTTGCATCCGTATAGTCGAGATATGTGGGTTGCCACTTCTGGGAGCTGTACCCTGCAACGTCTTCGCAGTGTTCGAGTGCAACAATTTGATGAAGTTCCTCTACGTGCCTTTTATCATTCTTCTGCTAATAAATTCGTGGTAGTAGCTGGCTCCGTTTGTAGCTTATGGGATGGCAAAACTGGCTCTTGTACTGAAGAGTTCGCACATGTGGGAAATGTGGCTACGACTGGAGGATCAAAGAAAGACTCGGCCACTACTCCACCTTCAGACTCGGCGTCTAGACCGTCGGATCATAGCGCTCATAACGAGGCAGGGACCGAGTTATTAACGTGCACACTCGACGCTAAGTGCAGGAAGTTGATCGTCATGTCGGAACAAGGAGCTCTCAGCGTGTTTAATTGCCAGAATTTCGTGCTAATGCGGCAATGTCAGGAATCTTTTTTATCGAAAATTCGAGTACCACGCCGAAAAACTATCGCGGGAAAAAATCCTGCGATGAATTCCGCGTCCTCCTGTGCTGTTGTGGGTCTGCACTACTGCTCGGAAAATAAACTTATCATTGTGACAGACGCGGGGACGAGTGCCATTACCGTGATTGACGATAATTCGAACCAAGATTCGTCGAAAGGAATTGGCATTCTTCGACGACTTATCAACATTCCTGGTGGCATTTCCTCGAGTGCGTATAGTTTCCATCCATCGATAATTGCGACCGTGGGCGCTGATTCTGAGGGGATGAGGATTTCGCTCTGGGATTTCGAAACTTTTGCTCATCTGGGCAATTGCCGGTATGATGACGATGAAAATTTCGCGAAATCGACCAAAGATGGCTACACTTTAACTATCCAGACGTTGGAGTTCTGGGATGAGTTTCCTGTTGTTATGGCTGGCGACTCAATCGGTGGCGTGTATTTCTTCGCAGTTACCCCTTTGTTACACGCTTATACGGGGAAATTGTTGCATGCATTTATTAACGACCATGATAGCAATGTTCGACAAATTCAAAACAAATCTCGAAATATGCAAGAAAGTATACCTGAAGATGAAAATGACGGTGAAAAGGTACAAAAAGCTGATGTAACAAAGGAAGCGGCGGAGGCTGCAGCCCGGAAACTTTTGCTGCACTCGAAAAAGCGTAAAAACGCTTTAACGACGAAACCCGTGGTAATACCCGAGCCAGAAAAGAAATCGCCCATGGAAAGTGCTTCTGCCGTGACGTGTATCAAGGTGGTTTTTGACGAAGATGCAAATCGGCATTTACTTTTTGTGGGCGACGAGCAAGGTTCTATAGCAATTTGGGACCCAACTGTGATGATACAACGGTTGTCACTGGCGAAGATCCCAGAGATCAAGTGCAAATATTTGCGTCGTGGATACCAACCAAAAGCCATGTTTTTTCGTGATTTTCTCAAAGATACAAGTGGCGTGGATGGGAGTTTGCCGAGCCGCGAGAAACACCGACAAGCTGTTAGTCATGGATCTTCGAAAGATTGGAGAGGGGCGATGCTTCTGGGAGAAGATATGGAACATATGAACGTTCGTGCGTCACACACAGATCTGAAAAAACTTTCGCGCCGTCGGCAAGAAACTCGAGGACCACGTACCGCTTTGAAACTTCCCGTACCGCAACAGACAAAAAACTTGCCACGTGCTCATGCGAAAGAAACCGCGGTGGTAAATGCTGTCGCAGCGGCGAAATTTCTACTACGCAAAGGATCAACTGCTACTTTGTCGACACGCCGCACGTCTCGAGCTTTAAATATGCCTCAAAATGCATCAGAGTCGACAAAGGCGTGGCCGGGTAGTTCGTGCTACGAAACTTCCCTCGAGATGTGACGCTTGTTCGACGTTGGCAAGCTCATACCGACGCACTTACCAGCTTGGAGATCAGTCGACATCCAAATATTGTGGTAACGTGTGGAATGGATATGAGGGTTTTTGTGTGGGACTGGGAAGGGGCCTGTTTAGGCAAATTATTCGATCCGGAAAATCAGGGGCAATGGCCGTGGCGTTTCCGAAAAGATAACGCAACTCGAACGAAAGAGCGGGATTTCCTCGTACAAGAATTGTTGCAGCAACTGGAAAGATCGCCGGCTGAAAAAATGGAACTCCGTCGCCAGTCGCTGTACGCCCAACACGTGGGTCGCCGAAATGTGAACGAACTGCGTAACGTCAACACTATGTTATTGGAACACATTATCAGCAAAAATCCCGAGATTAAGTTGCTGGAACAGGAAATTCACGACAAAAAGACACAAGTTGATAGTGCAGCGAACGGTAAAACTACAAAGATGCAGCTAAAACCCGAGATTTTTCGAACGTTGAAGAAAACGAATGCAATTATTACACCGAGACAAACGTTGCGTTTGCAGAGTTTAAACCAACTTGGTTCTGTTCCTCACGAGGAACTATCGAGACGGAAAGCGTCAGTCTTGCAGAGTGAACAACCCGCGTTCATGGAGTCGGGAGATCTCAAGATGGACAAGACTTATCTCGAGAACGAGCTGTCGATTGCGTGCCCAACAGCTTCTTCGCCGTTGCTTCGACCGAATCGTGACGGGGACGTGAAGCAACAGATCCAGAAGGAGTATCAACTAGCTCAACAAGCCATTGCCACTCGTGCAACTCTGACACGGAAAGCTCGAGAGATGTACAGCAACATGGAAGGCGTTCGAACGCGTCATAGTATACGTCGACCTGACACTAGTAGCCAAGACGTAGAGTCGCTGGAAGTGTCGGATTTCTTAAAGCAACATTTTGCGCCATCAGTGCTTGCAATTCGGCCACAAACAGCGCCGGCTCGTGGTCTAAAACTTAGCAAGAGTGAAGGTCACGTTGGTTTACGTCATCAGATAGAAGATGCTCCGTTGCAACTGCAAATTTCCGCTTCTGAAAGCACTTTTCAGTCAATTGAAAGCTCGTTATCTAACGACTCAGTGGCAAGGAAATTAAGCAACATTTCATTTGCTGGTCGTCGCAGAAGTTCTCTTGACGAGTTTTACAAGGAGGAATATCATCGCTATCGTCAAGATAGAGAACTCAATCTTAGCGTCCCCGAGGAGGTGGCAGTGGATGGAGAGAAGCAGCTGAGGCCGCTGCAAAAATTGCACGGGATCAACGAAATCATTGATAAAGCTCACGGATATTGCATCGATGCTCAGTCGACAAGACCCGGCACAGCTCCGGTAGGAACTCGACGTAACAGCGTGTTGTTAACAGAGTCCTCTAGTGAACATCTTAAAGAGCTCAACGATGCCAATGCTGTAGTATTGCGTCAGCATCTAGAGACTACCAAGCATCGCATGCAAGAGGCCTTACGGGACGGTAAGCGGCCTCACCGCCAAAACTTAAGGAAAATGCGGCAACAAGCGCTCGAGCAACAGCAAAAACGCCGAATGCACAGCTACTTGCAACAGAAACGACGTGAGCTCACTACGAACATAGGGAACGTGTTCAAAGGTCTGCAAACCTCTCAAGGGCCGGAACATGAACACGAAGAAGCAGAGCTATCGCCAAAACAGGACCACAAAACAAAGGACAAGAACGCGAAGCCACATATGCTGTCAGCCAAGAAGAGTTTCGGCATATACAGCGTGTCGGAAGTCATGTCGGTCATCCGGTTGTTCTGGTCCATGGACGCGGACGGCTCGGGAAACATCTCGATGGCAGAGTTGCAACAATTCAAGTCTGTATTTGAAAAATTAGGTTTCTCCAACATTGGCGCCGTTTTCCAAACGATTGACGCAAATGGGGATGGGCAAGTTTCTCTGCGCGAATTGCTGGCAACTTGCTTTCATTTTGCCTCAAAAGAGCAGATCGACTCCATGTTGCAACTTGCAAAAGTGGGCAGTGTACGTTCTTTTCTCTTGGGTGTTGATGAGACGGATCAGGACGGAGAATCCTCGTCGTCACCGTTTGCTAATGCTGCAGACAAACTCGAACCAAGGCAGAGAAACGAATTAATGGCAATTTTCCGCGTGTTCGACCACAACGGAGACGGTGGCGTGAGTATGCAGGAAATCATGGAGGCGTTACGGGTCGACGATGACGATGTGATGGCAGCCGTCATGACTAAAGAGCGTGGGAAACCAGGAAATCGAGTTTCGGAGCCGGTGGTTTCGAGCGGACTCACACGCGAGGACGTGGAGTTGATCTACAGCGAGTTCGATCGCGATAAGGACGCCACGTTAGACTTTAATGAGTTCGTCGCTGTCATGGCGAACCTCTACCCGAACAGGCCGATTTTGCTTCGGTAACAATTTAATAATTTGCATTTGCCAATGCCACAATGATAACATCCCTCTACCCGGTGACAGAGATAAGCTACACGAAATGTCGTCTCATATAATGTAATACATTGTGCTAAAGCTGACGGGTATATCAGCCATAGACTGGAATAAGCGTGGTTCGCAACACGGACAAGCAGTTACCGTGGGATCAACAGAGAACCAGAGGTTGGAATAAATATCGATAAAACAGCAATTGCATTATCCTTCTAGTGGC